CTTTTTGGAAGAGACAAATACAGAGACCTGCTGCACATCGTGCCAAAAGTTCCCCAAACGACCATCTGCAGGTGTTGAATTCAGAGTTGTCCTTCTACTAGACAGGCTGAAATCCACGACGATAGGACTCGGTCTGTCTTGCCATTTATCCATACTTTGTGTCGAGGGTGCGTAGAAATGGATTCTAAGGATATGATTATGTAACTGAGTGTTATGAACTCGACTGGAATTCTCTCAATACTAGCTTCTATCTGTTACTCCACGGTCTCTCTCTCTCTCTCTCTCTATATATATATATATATATATATATATATATATATATATATATATATATATATATATATATAATTTAGACAGCTTTTGTGGAAAACGTCCAGCTGATTAATGTGATGTCTGTATGGGGTCCATGACTCAGACCCATAAAGAAGAACGGAAGAACAACAGCACGGTAGACAAGGATTTTTGTGTCTAGTCGAATACCCCTTTCGTTCCACAAGCGATGGCGAAGATTTCCAAAGGCAGAAGTGGCTTTAGTAATCCTGTTGACAATTTCATCGTCAAGAGAACCGCTTTGGTTCACTTTGCTACCAAGGTAAGGAAAGGACTTGACATAATTGATCAGCTGGACGTTTTCCACAAAAGCTGTCTACGCGCCATATGTGGTCTTAGCCTCCGCGACAAGGTATCAAATGCCGAATTATTCACAAGATGCAAAATATCTGGCATTGAATCATTCCTTATTCAATCGCAATTGCGGTGGGCTGGTCATGTCTTGAGGATGCCCGATGACAGAATTCCAAAAATTGCGATGTACAGTCAGCTTGAAGGTGGTAAAAGAAATGTCGGACGTCCTTGGCTTAGGTACAAGGACAAGTTGAAGAGTAACTTGTCTGCGGTGAACATACCATACAGGAGTCTTGAAGATGAAGTGAGTGACCGCATAGGATGGAGATCAATGTGTTTTGAAGGTCTCCAGAAGCTACAGTCTGAAAGCTTAAGTCAACTGAAAGAAAACAGAGAAAGAGCAAAACGACTGGCAGCCGCACCAATGTCTGCAGCGTTAAATCCACATTCATGTTCTATTTGTGGCCTTGTTTGCAAATCCCTTTGCTGGACTAAAAAAAGTCATCAGAGGCAAAAAGCATAAATGAATTTTATAAATATATGTTGTCCGAACCTCATACGTCGAAATCGACGGGAGAGTCCATCATATATATATATATATATGCTATGGGTAAAATAGCAGGACAGACTGGGTTCTATAGCCTTGGATGGCAACTGGTCTAGGAGAAGGACAACTCTGAATTCAAAACCTGCGGAGGGTCGTTTGGGAACCTTGTGGCACTCGGTGCACCAGGTCTCTGTATTCGTCCTTCAAAAAGTGTGGATGGTCCTGCACGAGGCCTTCACCACTATAATCAAATCTCATGTGCCGCTGTCGGGCTGTCGGTTTCCTGGAAACTGATCTGCTTGACCCTCATACGTCGAATCTCGACGGGAGAGTTGATTATATATATATATATATATATATATATATTATGGAATCTTATAAAGGACGCGTTTGGTCGACATCTGTCATTCTCGGCTTCTTCGGGTCGGAATGAAAGACAAAACATTTCAGGATTGCCCTTATTATCCTCAAAAATCCCAATGCATTTCCCTTACAGACAGTTTTATTTTTCATTCTAACCTGAAAATGTCAAACCCAACGCATGTCCATATTTATTACAACGTTTCGGTCGTTGTACGCTCCGGGCTTCTTCAGGTGGTTGGAATGTCGAACTGAACCCTTTATTTCGCTCACTGGAGTAGACATCATTATACTACCGGCTGACAAAGGCAATGCGACTGTAGTGATGGACAAATCAGATTATACAAGAAAGCTGGAAGACCTCATTAGTAATGGTAGCTACAGCAAAGTAAAAAAGGATCTTACAATGAAAACGGAACGCAAACTGTCACAGATCAAGAACAAGGATCACTTCGCACCTAAGATGTATAGGCAGTTATCGCAGCGTTACACCAAGTTACCTCACATATACTGTCTCCCTAAGATTCACAAAGACGGTATTCCGCTCAGGCCGATTGTTACTTGCCAGGGCTCTGTGTGCCACCCTCTGAGTCGCTTCCTTGTAGATATAATTGACCCATTGTTCGGAAAGTCTCCATCATATATCCGAAACACCGCCCACTTCGTGGAAATAATCAAAGATGCTCCCTTCCTATCCAACCAGATGGTGAGCTTGGACGTGGTGAGTTTGTTCACCAAGGTACCCACAGAGGAGTCACTCTCAGTAGCCAGAGATAGATTGGCCTCTGACTTATGCCTAGAAGAACGGACCAGTATTCCAATAGATAATCTGATGGAGATGTTGACTTTCTGTACACAAACAACTCACTTTGGTATGGGATCACACATATATCGACAGGATAAGGGCTTATCAATGGGCTCGCCATTATCACCAGCAATGGCGAATATATACATGGAATACTTTGAGGAAATGGCATTAGAATCTATATCTCTAAAGCCAACTCTATGGTTAAGGTACGCACATGACACCTTCATACTCTGGCCACACCAGAGTTCTACTGGATCATGTGAACTCAATAAGACCTTCGATACAGTCCACAATGGAGAAAGAGAGTAACAACACACTCCCATTCCTGGATGTTCTAATATCTCGAACAGAGCATGGGTTCAAGACATCCGTATATCGTACACCGACATTTACCGGTCGCTACCTCAATTTCAACACCCACCATCCATACAGGGTAAAGAAAGGAATCGTCCGCTGCTTACAACACCGAGCAAAATCACGCGGCGACCCAGAGATAGTAGATAAAGAATTGGTCAGTATAAGTAGTAACCTATAACATAACAACTACCCTGGGTACATGGCAGCAGCCCCCCAAAACTGGGATAGGCGGGTACAAGAAGAGGACAACAACACTCAGAAAACAGTCTGCCAGCCTTATGTGAAGGGGTTATCAGAGAAAATACAAAGGATCAGTGGTCCATATAACATCAGGACAACCTTCAAAAGCTTGACGACACTTTGCAGATATCTCTCCCGAGTAACACCCCCCCCACCCCATAGAAGAGAACATGACTAAAGACTATGTGTACGCTATCCCGTGCAGCTGCGGAAAGAAATATAAAGTGGGGACAGGCCGTCCCCTTAAAGTAAGGCTTCAAGAACACCAGAAAGCTGTAACACGAGGGGAAGTGGAAAAATCAGGCGTGGCTGACCACATATGGAGAGAGAAGGGGTACACCGCGCTCTGTGGGATCATGTTGAGATCATAGACAAGGAAAACCATTGGAAAATTCGTAAACTTAAGGAATCGGGACATATGCTAGGCCACAAGAATCTCCTGAGCCGACCAAGCATAGAAATGAATACAATATGGGAACCAGTAATAAAGAGTACCAGAGAAAAGCGATAATAACAAAAAAAAAAAAAAAAAAAATACGTTATGAGCTCTTGTAAAAAAATGTAATGAGAACAGCAAAAGTTGCAATATGAGCACTTGTAAAAATGGTTGCTGAAGACTTTAGGTTTATAATACCCAGAAATTCATACCCAGATGTCCTCAAGGACAAACGGGACAGTCGATAAAGGCGTTAGTTAGATCCAGTGACAGAATCCAAAGAGTGTGAGTTCAATAGTGGCGAACTTTCAGAGGGAAATTAACTTAAACATGGTAAGTGGAACTAGAACAATCTACCCCAGTGAGCGAAATAAAGGGCTCAGTTCGACATTCCAACCACCTGAAGAAGGCCAGAGTGTACAACGAAGAAGAAGGACGAAACGTCGTAATAAACATGGCGACAAAGATGAGGACAATAGTCCGAATAATGTAAATAATGTACATAAAACCTCATCTGAAAAATATAGACAGATACTGAAAGATCGAAACGTTGTAATAAATATGGCGACAAAAATGAGGACAATAGTCCGAATAATGTAAATAGTGTACATAAAACCTCATCTCAAAAATATAGACAGATACCAACGGCGAAATGCGTCGTTTATAAACATTTTCACTTTTTCTAATAATCTCCTTTCTTACTTCGGATAATATTATACATCCTAAAAATACAGATATACATATATGTGCGTGTCCGTTGTATGCACATATACAAATCTAAATTTATGTAGATCAATATAACGACACACACTGATATATATATATAGAGAGAAATGTGTATAAATATGTACATATAAATACATACATGGTGCGTCTATGAACAGATAAAGTTTTGAATGTAATTGTGTGTTTGATTACTCGTGTGTGTATATGTGTGTGCGTGTGGGTGTGTGCACGCGCTCGTAAGTATGTGCGTGTGTATGTGTTTAGAAAGGAAGTTTAAATGGAGAGAGAGAGAAACATTTTTATGTCAAAACTTACTTCGGCCCCTTAAAGTTCATAGAGTGCTTTCTTTGTCACAAATTATTGTTCTGTAATTACCCCCCTCCTACATCTCTGGTCCGATTCTGTGCGTTCTTTGAACAAAGTCTGGCATACTGCACACATGACTGGCTTATAGATCAGATAAGTAAAGATAATGACTAATTGAAATCTCGATACATGACCAGCGGGAGAATAGTGACGATATAAAACGGCCGCCAATGTGTGTGTGTGTGTGTGTGTGTGTGTGTGTGCGTGCGTGTGCGTGTGCGTGTGTGTGTGTCTACGCGCGCGCGTGTGTGTGTGTTTGTGTGTGCATATGTGTGCGTGTGTGTATGCATGCGTATGTGTCTTTTTTCTTACACTCTAGATAGGGATATAATCAACTTTACCTTATTTTGTCTGTCTCTATCTCTCTCTCTTTATATGTGTGGGTGTGTGTGTCTCTTTTGTGATACTTTTATAAAACCTATTTACTTTTTCTTTCTATCTATCTATCTATCTATCTATCTATCTCTTTATATATATATATATATATATATATATATATATATATATATATATATATCTGTTGATATCTAACTCAGTTCATATTTATATTTTTTCTGTTTATCTCACTAACTCAGTCAATCTATTTATCTATCTATCTATCTATCTATCTATCTATCTATCTATCTATCTAAATCTGTTCATATCTGTGTAATGCACTATGTCGGACTTCCAAATGGGAGTGAACATTTTACTTTTCAAGCCACACTTTGGTCTGATCATCAATTTCTGTTATTAGAGTGAGATAATGAACAATGTCTGCTATGTATCCAATTATACTTTTCCACTCTTTACGATCGAAAAAATCAACTTCGAACTCTAAACCCTATTAAATAAATGAAAAGTTTATTTATCTAGTACTAACATTTTATATTATTTATTCATGGAATGAATATCATTTAAAAAGTTTTTGTTAGTCTTACATGTAATTAGGTACCACCAAAGATTCGCTATAAATGAACATACATGATGAAAAAATGCGCAAAATTTAATAAGAATACATTTTTATATTTTATTATTGAGAGAAAAGACTAAAAAATGTGTTTGATTATTAAATAATATTTTTTAATCCTATTTGGAACCTTCGATCTTTTGGTTAAAATTTTTGTTTTCCTTCAACAGGTGACCATAAATTATTATGGAAAAATACTGATTTGGACATTCTTGAAATAATATCAGATAATTGTCGGATTTTAATGAAACTTCCAGGATTTATTCACAAATGAATTAAATTATTTTAGAAATATTTCTTTTTTTAGAAAATCTTGGTAAAAAATATTTTTTTACCACCCACTTATATAATTTTATTCAAGAAATACAAATTTGTAACGCTTATCGTTTTTATGAGTTATAAGCAGAAGTCCTTGGAGACTTTAAATCATCAATTTATTTTGTCAAGCAGGATTACCAGTTACAGAAAATCTGCACTGAATCGTAGAATAAAACTGCAATAAAACTAATACATTATTTAATTAGAAAATCATTTAATTGCTTTTTAATCCATAAAGTTTTAAATCTTTTAGAATACTGTATTAATTTGAAGCGGTGAGATGATATTGTTATTAAGCAAAAATTATATATACTAATCATGAATAAAACAGCGAATCCATTTTTTAAAAAAATAAGTCCACATTGTGTGTGTGTGTAAACGTGCCGATTTTTGTAAATACGGACGTCCATTCACGACTTTATTAGAAAATAAGAACGTAATAGTAAGTTTAAAATGTGTTTGTATTTTTCTAACAATTCATCGAGCGTCTTTGTAAGTAAGTCTGTTAAGCCAAAGTACCTAAATTCAATAAAACATAAGATTACTTCGAATATTTTCCTAACTTTTAAAGAGTACTTGGAAGTTAAAAATTATATAAAAAGTGGTGTTCACGTTATATCCGTCAGGTAATTGTTACCGTAATTGTCTGCTTCGAAAAAATTCCTAAACATAAGTATATGGAGATAGTTGTCAACACCTGATAAAAACACCCACCACTGTGTTAAAAAAATGGTTTTTGCGATATTCAAAACTAAAAGTAAGTAATAGTTGTTTCAAATTAGATGAACCAATCTTGAATCAGTTAATGTTCATCAGTCATTCTATCGATTCACACACACAAAATAATTCCAATCAATTTAAAGTCGTTTTAAAATACAGTAATGTATTTTGCTTATTGGAAAAAATTAAATTTAATCTGTTAGCTTGAAATTAAAAGTAAAATAAAAGCTTGAAGAAAGATTATTCATTTTTAAAAATTCATTTAAAATCTTAGGTGTGCATTTTCCTTGTACACACACACACACACACACACACACACACATATATATATATATATATATATATATATATATACATACACCGTGTATACTAGATAGATAGATAGATAGATAGATAGATAGATAGATAGATAGATACTGAACAGACTGAGATAGATAAGGAAAATGTATATACCTAAGATTTATAAGATATATATTAGTTAACACCACGGATATTCATCACACTCTCTCGCAGGTTGATTATTCGTTTGTCAGAATTTACAGCAATTAGCGCTCATATCGATTAACATATAACAATAGGCAAACTAACATTTCATAGAAGGACTCAATGCAAAGAAATATCCAAAATTCTAGAAGACGTTTTAATAATATATAATCGCCATAGATCAATATATTGAAGTGTATATTTAAAAAAAAAATGCAAATATATGTAAAATACAGGAGCGTCATAAATTACATCACCTTGAGTGGATTGAAATTGATTAGAGCAATCAAAGGGGAACCAAAACCAGGTAAGAAAGGAATGGATTCAGGGGGTGGGGGGAATTAGAATTAAAATGAACTAATTCGAAAATTTTAAAAAGTTAATAAAAAAATTGATTAGACAGAACTTGTTGGTATTAATCAATCAGTAATATTTGAAACTCATGCTGCCTAAATACACCTTATGCAGACACACACACACCACACACACACACACACACACACACACACAGTAATGCGCGCACAAACACACACACTTATATATATATTATAATTTATATTGAAAAATAGCACACATTGAAAATACACACACACACATAAATACACACACACACATATATATATATATATATATATATATATATATATATATATATATGTACACACATACGTGTGAGTGCCTCTGTGCGTGTGTGTGTGGGTGTGTGGGTGTGTCTGTGTGTGTTTGTGTGCGTGCGCGTATTGGTTGAAGTTGTATCGTTTGATTCATCTTTAATCCGGTCATAAATTAATTTAAATTGCATTCAATTTACTTTGTGCCTCTTTCCATCTATCGTATTTCAAAGACCTGATATGTGTATTATAAGTGGGTGATTCTTGTGAAGTGCGATTTCAGAGAAGACGACTGAACGATTAAGCCGACCCGGTTCTAGAATATTGGGACAACAAACGACTGAAACTTCATATATATATATATATATATATATATATATATAGATAGATAGATAGATACACCTAGTGAGCCAGACAAACCTACCTATATATATATTTGTATGCGTGTGTGTGTGTGTGTGTGCGCGCGCGTGTGTGTGTGTCCTTTTTATATTTACTGCTTTTGTTGCCTTCTATCCATCCATTCTACAGGTACAAGTTCTGTAGTTCGATTGTGAAGCCATCCGAGTAATATCAAGATTTTTTAAGTTTCGAGTTGAAATGTTGTCAACCGTTTTTACCTTTCAAATGTCATAATCGCTACTTAAATATTTACGATCAGTTAAGAGAAATGTTGATGGACAACGTGAAAAAATGAAAGCTCAAAATCATAAAATGCGAATAGAAAATATATTTGACCGAAGAATATATCGATGATAATTTGTGCTGTAACAAAGGTATAGTTAAATTTTGAGGATATATATGAATGAATAAAAATGATCTCATCTTAGAATTTAAACACGTTCAAACACAGACGCACACTTATATCTGAATATTAGATTCATATACATACATACATTCCTAAATACATACATACACACACACACACATATATATATATATATATATATATATATATATATATATATATATATATATATATATATATATATATGTACGTATATATATTTATATATATATATGTATGTATGCAAGTATGTATATATAACTATGTACCTCCCAAAATATGATACCTAATGTTTAAAAATGCATTTTAAAACTGAAATTCTTTTTGTGAAGCTTTTATTTTAGTTGTAATTCCAAGCTAATAAATTAAAGTTAATATTTCCAGTAAGCAAAATATTTTCTGTATTTCAAACCAAATTTAAATTGATTGAAATGATATTTTTAAATCGCTAAAATCAGCCATGTTGACAAATCTGTCAAACATAATATAAATTTCTTTTTTAAAAATCTTTGAAAAATAAAATATAATTTTCTGAAACGTATTTTGGGGATGATTAAATGATTTAAAATGTAATTAATCTGAATTGAAATAAATATTACTTATTCTGATCTAAAATATCGCAGAAAAGCATTTTTAACACGAAGGTGGGTGTTTTATGAGGTACTGATGGATTTATCGATTATTTTTAAGTGGAGGGACAAAATTGAAAGAATTATTTGACGCATACAACATAAACGCCATTTTATATATTTTTTAACTACATAGCAATCTTAAAAGTTTAAGAAAATATTCTATTTTATTGAATTTGAGGTTTTATAACATTACTTAGGAAGACGCTTGTTGAGGAACTGTTAGAAAATTACAAATAAGTTTTAATTTTACTATATTTACCGAATTTATGTCGTGTATGGACGTCCGTATTTACAAACATCAGCACGTTTATATACATACAAAAATATTCAAAATTCATTTTCAAATACTAGGGGTTACTAATTCAGTAAGTATGCTTTTTATTTAATAAATACAAATAAACATAGAATTTTAAAAGATTCAAAACTTTATAAATTATTCTCATTAATTTTTTTAACAAAAGAAAACAATTCTCGTTATAAAAGCAATTAAAATATTTTCTAATTAAATAATGTCTTAGTTTTAACGCATTTTTTATTTTACCATTCAGAATAGATTTTCTGTAACTTTGGGTCTTGTTTGACCAAGAAAATTTCATGATTTAAATTCACCCCGGATTTACCTTTAAAGTTAGTATAAACATTAAACCATAGAAAAATAGATTTCTTGAAATTTCATAATATTAAATAAGATATATAAAAAAAACCTACATTTTTTACGAAGATTTTTTAAAAATGGAACGTTCTAAAATAGTTTATTCATATTTTTAATAAGTTCTGGAGTTTTATTAAAATATGACAATTACCTGATTTTTCAAGAATTTCCAAATCAATGTGTTCTTCAACGCAAAAAGACGCAAAAATATGCCATACTAATTTATAGTCACCTGTTTACGCAAGAAAAACAAAATTTTTAAGCAAAATTTCAAAGGTTTCAAAAATGATAAAAAAATAAAATTTAATAAATAAAAACATCTTTGGCTCTCCTCTTAATAATAACAAAGATTTTGAGGATAAAATCTGTTTTTATTAATTTTGGATAATTTTTCCTCAAATGCGAATTTTTTAGAGAGTCTCTGGATATATTATTATTATTATTATTATTATTATTATTACCTTCAGGTGAGTTTTATTTTACTTATATATTTTACTAAT